GCGAAGCAAAGCACAAAACTCCTCACACGTCAGAGATGCTGAGCAATTGATCTTTGCTGTTTCAATTCTCCCATTATACATGTAGGCAGGACATTGAGTGCCTGTGATTGCTGCTTATCACGCCCACTTCCCACATGTAGTAACACCTGATGTGTGTTGTGCATCCCTGGCAATCCTGTGAATCTCCACACCTCAGACAGGACACAACAGTGTCACATACGTGACCTCATCTGTACAAGGGAGCAGACTGGGGATCTGGAGAAGTAAATTGGTTTCACTCCCATAAAATATGTGGGGATAGTCACATGAGTCCGTACAGAGTCACGTGAATCCAGCAGGAAGTCTTCTTGAGGTGAGTACTCAGAATTACGGTGCTTTCCAGCTATTGCACAGAACCGTTTCAAGGCCATGCTTCCATGCTGATCTCTGGTTCTGCTTGATGACTGGTTCTGTTTTTTATACCGTAAAAACCACTGCAGTGTCCTGGTGGAATTGTACTGGCCAAGTGTTTCTAGTGTAGAACAGGCTGAGAAAGCCTTTGACATTTCCACGGTGAGGAATCAGCTTCACTGATATAATACGGAAAAAATACTTTTTGGAAAAAATACCGAAACAGCTTTTTTACAAATTTTCCCCAAACGCACAAGCGTGACGGTTGGCTTAGTGAACATCAATCAGTGCCCTTCTGTCTGCATACGCCACATCTACTCTAGAAACTCTGTGGACAGAGGCTGTGTAGTGGACACTTTGCTGGCGGACTGGAATATACTATACTGGTTAAAGCACGCTAGTGCGCAGGTAGAACTGTACTGCTAAAGTGCTCCTAGTGCAGAGCCGGCTGGAAAAGCTGTTGCCATTGTCATGGTGAGGAATCAACTATGTTGAATTAATATCAGAGAACTGATTTCATTGATCTTGCTCTATTTCCTTCCAGAAGCTCCCAGGTGGCCTTCCGGTAAGTACTCAAAATTACTTTACTGTTTATATTACCTTAGTACCCCTTGCTAGTCTGGACCCTGAGCCCAGTGTTCTGCTGGATTAGCCAAGAAACACAAGGAAAGAGCAAGTCAAAGCAAAAAACTCCTCACTCGTCAGGTGTGCTGATGAGTTAATACAATTGTTCTCTACCCTTTCAATTCTCCCATTACACAAGTAGGTAGGACACTGCGTACCTGTGATCGTTGGTTATCATGACCACTTCCCAGACGAAGTAACACCTAATGTGTGTTGTGCATCCCTGGCAATCCTGTGAATCTCCACACCTCAGACAGGACACAACAGTGTCACATATGTGATCTCATCTGTATAAGGGAGTAGACTGGAAATCTGAGAAGTAAATCGGTTTCACTCCCATAAAATATGTGGGGATAGAACAACAATGGGTGACATTCAGCTAAAACTAGTCCTCATAGGCCTCATGATTGGAAATCAGACGAGTACATTGGTTCTCTTCTTTCAAAATGTGGAGTATCAGCACTTGCTGCATAGCCTGGTAGACAGTAACAATCTCTTGCTGCCAATCTTCTTTGTCTCTGTCCCTGCCCAAAAGTCCCATCCAAGTGGGGCTGGAAAAAATGGCAGCAATGGCAGGAGGAACATACTGTCTATTCTACTGATGATTTTCTCTCCGAAATGAGACATTTCCTGTTCTGCCCAAAGGGGAACTGTCAAGGACAGTATCTGGGCATCCCCTGTCTCTGAGTTTGTGTTGTCTACGTGAGCGAGAAGGCGGATCCAGGGTTCTCCTCGCCTATTCAAAATATTCTTTACATCTAATATCGTCAGCATGTCCTCTGGACTGTTGGTGGAAAAGCTTGAACAGGCAGAAGAATGTTTACCAAACCTGGCATGTAAATACCATGAACGTCATATGCAAAGATCTTATCTTGACTCCTGTTCTCACTTTCAGGGGATATTGTAAATGTTTTGTCAACATCTTTATTAATGACCTGGCTGAGGGAATGGGTTGCACCCTCAGCAAATTCGCAGCTAACTCTGCCAAAGGGTAGCAGTGTTTTGCCACTTGAGTGTATTTTCTTTGGGAAGAACCAAGTACATAAGTGATATCGGAGAACTGAATTTCTTTCTCCTGCTCTGTTTCCGTACAGAGTGACGTGAATCCAGCAGGAAGTCTTCTTGAGGTGAGTACTCAGAATTACGGTGCGTTCCAGCTGTTGCACAGAACCGTTCCAAGGCCATACTTCCATGCTGATCTCTGGTTTTGCTTGATGACTGGTTCTGTTTCTTATACCGTAGAGCACAGTAGTGTCCTGGTGGAATTGTATTGGCCAAGTGTTACTAATGTAGAACAGGCTGAGAAAGCCTTTGCCATTTCCATTGTCAGGAATCAGCTTCACTGATATGATAGGGGAGAAGAGAGTTTCTTGATCCTCCCTCTTGCCATGTTCGTACAGGAAGCCTTGCATCCCCTTCAGGGTGTTCTGGGGTGAATACTCCAAACCACTTTCTAGTCTGATTGTTCTATACAATCACTCCTAAGGACGAGTTTCCATGCTGGTCCTAATAATGATCTAATGCTGTGAGGATCGACACACGTTCATTCTCATCATCTGACTCAGATTGCACCAAGAGACAGTTAATTTTCATTTTTGGTGGGTCTGTAGCTTCTGTATGACAATGTTTCTTTTTTAAGACTTCTGACAATATACACCGCATCCCATTTCACTCAGCTTTGGGAGGACACTGCAGACTCTTAAAATTCGGATTAAGTAGGACTGAGTGTAATTGCTGGCACTAATGTTTTCTATTGCTTGGTTACTGAGTGCAGTTCTTACAAATATAGCTACATTTGTAAGTTGCACTTTCATGCTACTAACAAATGTAGTTAATTTTCAAAACAACAATCAGAATGCTCGGTCATTTTTGCAACCGGAAAAATGCAGAACTGCTGAAAGTTTTTCATTGTATGAGAAAATATTCTTTCCAAAGCAAATATTTGAATAAACAGTTTCTTCCATTTTCTCTCATTCTTAAATGGAAAAAATAAAATGAAACCAACAATGTTTTTGATTCTGTTATTTGATTTCTCAAATCCCTTTTTGGAAAAAGTAATGAAACAACTTTTTTAGAAATTTCCCCCAAACACACCAGGGAGACGGTCGCCTTAGTGACCATCAATCAAGGAGATGGTGCTATTATGTCGGAACAAGCCCTTTGGTCTCTGTATGCCGCATCTACTCTAGGAGCTCTGTGGACAGAGGCTGTGTAATAGACATGGACCTCACTTTGCTGGCAGCGTGGAATATGCTACTCTTTACAGCACACTAGTGCACTGGTAGAACTGGACTGGCAAAGTGCTCCGAGTGCAGAGACAGCTGATAAAGCTGTTGCCATTGTCATGGTAAGGAATAAACTATGTTGAATTGATGTTGGGCCATCCTCTGAGGCTGCTAGAACATGAAACAAATGGCAGGATGTGAGTTAACACAGAGCAGGAAATATACCTTTCTCCCCTAAGGAGTTCAGTCACGAATCTAATTAACACTTTTTTTTTGAGCAAACATCATCAGCATGAAACATTATATCGGGAACAGAAAAGGGGCAGATGAATGTTGAGCATATCTGGCATGTAAATGCTTTGCCAATACAGTTCCAAAAGTGCCATGTGAATATCTGAGCATGGTGACACTGACAGGTCCCACTGTAAATAAGAAGTGGGCAGCATTATCTCCGGTAAACAAGCTTCTTTTTCTTAGCGATTGGCTGAACAAGAAGTAGGACTGAGTGTAATTGCAAGCACTAATGTTTTCTATTGCTTTGTTACTGAGTGCAGTTCTAACAAACACAGCTACATTTGTAAGATGCACTTTTATGCTACATACAAATCTAGATAATTTTCACAACAAGCAGGATGCTCAGGCATTTTTACAACAGAAATAATTAGAACCACTAGAAGTTTGTCATTTTATGAGAAAATGTTTTTTACCAAAACAAACACATATTTTAATGGAAGAGTTTCTTCCATTTTCTCTCATTCTTAAATGGAAAAAATAAAATGAAACCAACAATGTTTTTGATTCTGTTATTTGATTTCTCAAATCCCTTTTTGGAAAAAGTAATGAAACAACTTTTCCTTTGTTTACAAATTTTGCCCAAACACACAAGCATGACGGTTGGCTTAGTGAACATCAATCAGGGAGGTGATGTTATTATATCGGAACAAGCCTTTCTATCTGCATACGCCACATCTACTCTAGAAACTCTGTGGACAGAGGCTGTGTAGTGGACACTTTGCTGGCGGACTGGAATATGCTATACTGGTTAAAGCACGCTAGTGCGCTGGTAGAACTGTACTGCTAAAGAGCTCCTAGCGCAGAGCTGGCTGGTAAAGCTGTTGCCATTGTCATGGTGGGGAATCAACTATGTTGAATTGATATCAGGGAACTGATTTAATTGATCCTGCTCTATTTCCTTCCAGGGGCTCCCGGGTGGCCTTCTGGTAAGTACTCAACATTACTTTACTGTTTATATTACCTTAGTACCCCTTGCTAGCCTGGGCCCTGAGCCCAGTGTTCTGCTGGATTAGCCAAGAAACACAAGGAAAGAGCGAGTCAAAGCACAAAACTCCTCACTCGTCAGGTGTGCTGATGAGTTAATACAATTGTTCTCTGCCCTTTCAATTCTCCCAGTACACAAGTAGGTAGGACACTGCGTGCCTGTGATCGTTGGTTATCATGACCACTTCCCAGACGCAGTAACACCTTAGCCTGGTAGACAGTAACAATCTATTGCTGCCATTCTTCTTTGTCTTTGTCCCTGCCCAAAAGTCCCAGACAGGTGGGGCTGGTAAAAATGGCAGCAATGGCAGGAGGAACATACTGTCTATTCTACTGATGATTTTCTCTCATAAATTAGACAATTCCTGTTCTGCCCAAAGGGGAACTGTTCAAGGACAGTATCTGGGCATCCCCTGTCTCTGAGTTTGTGTTGTCTACGTGAGCGAGAAGGCGGATCCAGGGTTCTCCTCGCCTATTCAAAATATTCTTTACATCTAATATCGTCAGCATGTCCTCTGGACTGTTGGTGGAAAAGCTTGAACAGGCAGAAGAATGTTTACCAAACCTGGCATGTAAATACCATGAACGTCATATGCAAAGATCTTATCTTGACTCCTGTTCTCACTTTCAGGGGATATTGTAAATGTTTTGTCAACATCTTTATTAATGACCTGGCTGAGGGAATGGGTTGCACCCTCAGCAAATTCGCAGCTAACTCTGCCAAAGGGTAGCAGTGTTTTGCCACTTGAGTGTATTTTCTTTGGGAAGAACCAAGTACATAAGTGATATCGGAGAACTGAATTTCTTTCTCCTGCTCTGTTTCCGTACAGAGTGACGTGAATCCAGCAGGAAGTCTTCTTGAGGTGAGTACTCAGAATTACGGTGCGTTCCAGCTGTTGCACAGAACCGTTCCAAGGCCATACTTCCATGCTGATCTCTGGTTTTGCTTGATGACTGGTTCTGTTTCTTATACCGTAGAGCACAGTAGTGTCCTGGTGGAATTGTATTGGCCAAGTGTTACTAATGTAGAACAGGCTGAGAAAGCCTTTGCCATTTCCATTGTCAGGAATCAGCTTCACTGATATGATAGGGGAGAAGAGAGTTTCTTGATCCTCCCTCTTGCCATGTTCGTACAGGAAGCCTTGCATCCCCTTCAGGGTGTTCTGGGGTGAATACTCCAAACCACTTTCTAGTCTGATTGTTCTATACAATCACTCCTAAGGACGAGTTTCCATGCTGGTCCTAATAATGATCTAATGCTGTGCGGATCGACACACATTCATTCTCATCATCTGATTCAGATTCCACCAAGAGACAGTTAATTTTCATTTTTGGTGGGTCTGTAGCTTCTGTATGACAATGTTTCTTTTAAGACTTCTGACAACATACACCGCCTCTCATTTCATTCAGCTTTGGGAAGACATTGCAGACTCTTAAAACTCGGATTGAGTGCTGGAGCGATATTTAGCAATCTCACATTGGTGGCTTCTTTGCCTTTTTGTCAAATCTGCGGTGAAAGTGTTCTCAAAATGAGCAATATATGTTGGGCCATCCTCCAAGACTGCTAGAACATGAAACAAATGGCAGGATGTGAGTTAACACAGATCAGGAAACATACTTTTCTCCCCTAAGGTGTTCAGTCACAAATTTAATTGACACTTTTTTTTGAACAAACATCATCAGCATGAAATATTGTGTTTGGAGCAGAGGCAGAAGGGTAAAGGGGCCGATGAATGTTGAAGATATCTGGCATGTAAATACTTTGCCAATCCAGTTCCAAAAGTGCCATGTGAATATCTGAGCCTGGTGACACTGACAGGTCCCACTGTAAATAAGAAGTGGGCAGCATTATTTCCACTAAACAAGCTTCTTTTCCTTAGTGATTGGCTGAACAAGAAGTAGGACTGCGTGTAACTGCAGGCCCTAATGTTTTCTATTGCTTTGTTACTGAGTGCAGGTCTTGCAAATATAGCTACATTTGTAATTTGCACTTTCACGTTACATACAAATCTGGTTAATTTTCAAAACAACAAGCAGGATGCTCGGTCATTTTTGCAACCAGAATAATGTAGAACCACTGGAAGTTTGTCAATTTATGAGAAAATATTTTTTACAAAAAAAACAAATATTTTAATAGAACATTTTCTGCTCTTTTCTCACATTCTTAAATGGAAAGAAAGAAAATGAAACCAAAAAATGTTTTTTATTTGTTATTTGATTTTTTTGACAGAATATTGAAACAGATTTTTTTTAAATTTCCCCCAAACACACCAGGGTGACGGTTGGCTTAATAACCATCAATCGACGAGATGGTGTTATTATGCCAGAACAAGCCGTTCTGTCTGCATATGTCACATCTACTTTAGGAGCTCGGTGGACAGAAGCTGTGCCATGTAGACACAGCCTCATATTGGTGGAAGTGTGCCATATGCTATAGTGATTAAAGCACACTAGTACACTGGTAGAGCTGTACTAGTAAAGTGTTTCCAGTGCAGAGACGGATGGTAAAGCTGTTGCCATTGTCATGCTGAGGAATCAACTACACTGAATTGATATCAGAGAACTGAGTTTCTTGATTCTGCTCTATTTCCTTCCAGGAGCTCTCGGGTTCATTAATCGGTGGCCTTCTGGTGAATACTCAAAATTACTTTGTTGGCCAACTGTTTATATTATCTTAAAACCCCTTAGTTAGCTTGGATCCTGAGCCTGGTGTTCAGATGGAAAAGCCAAGAAACACAAGGAAAGAGCGAGGCAAAGCACAAAACTGCTCATTCGTCAGAGATGCTGTTGAATTCATACAATTGTTCTCTGCTGTTTCAATTCTCCCATTACACAAGTAGTCAGGACATTGCATGCCTGTGATTGCTGCTTATCATGACCTAGATCGATGCAAGAGCAAGTCTGTCACCTTCCTGAATGTCAGTCAGAGAGGTGGTGGTGGTATTTCGGAACAAATCCTTAAGTCTGCATACACAGCATCTACGCTAGCAGCTATGTAGGCACAGGCTCTGTAGCATAGACATGGCCTCATATCCCCTGCAGCAGAGAATGTGCTATAGTGGTGGGATTGTACTGGCACAGCACTCTGAGTGCAGAACTCACCTGTAAAAAGCTATTGCCATATTCTTTGGGAACAGCTAAGTACATTGAAATGATATCCAAGAACTGAATTTCTTTCTCCTGCTCTGTTTCCATGCAGAAGGACGCAGTTCCAGTAGAAAATGTTCTTCCGGTAAATATTCAGAATTACGGTGCTTTCCAGCTGTTGCACATAACCGTTCCAAGGCCATGCTTCCATGCTGATCTCTGGTTCTGTTCAATATACCATAAAAAGCACAGTAGTCTCCTGGTAGAACTGTGCTGGCCTAGTGTTTATAGTGTAGAACAGGTTGATAAAGCCTTTGCCATTTCCACTGTGAGGAATCAGCTACATTGATGTGATACTGGAGAAGGGCGTTTCTTCATCCTCCTCTTGCCATATTCTTACAGGAAGCCTTGCTTCCCCTTCAGGGTGTTCTTGGGGTGGATACTCTGAACCACTTTCCAGTGTGATTGTTTTATACAATCATTCCTGAGGACTAGCTTCCATGCTGATGACAGGTTTTGCCTAATAATGATCTAATGCTGTGCAGATCGACACACGTTCATTCTCATCATATGACTCAGATTGCACCAAGAGACAGTTAATTTTCATTTTCGGTGGGTCGGTACCTTCTATATAACAATTTTTCTTTTTTAACACTTCTGACAACATACACCGCATCCCATTTCACTCATCTTTGGGAAGACACTGCAGACTCTTAAAATTCGGATTGAGTAGGACTGAGTGTACTTGCAGGCACTAATGTTTTCTATTGCTTAGTTACCGAGTGCAGTTCTTACAAATATAGCTACATTTGTAAGTTGCACTTTCATGCTACTAACAAATGTAGTTAATTTTCAAAACAACAAGCAGTATGCTCGGACATTTTTGCAACCGGAATAATGTAGAACCGCTGGAAGTTTGTCATTTTATGAGAGAATGTTTTTTTCCAAAACAAACACATATTTTAATAGAAGAGTTTCTTCCATTTTCTCTCATTCTTAAATGGAAAAAATGAAAATGAAACCCCAAATATTTTCGATTTTGTTATTTGATTTCTTAAATCCCTTTTTGGAAAAAATACCGAAACAGCTTTTTTTACAAACTTTGCCCAAACACACAAGCGTGACGGTTGGCTTAGTGAACATCAATCAGGGAGGTGATGTTATTATATCGGAAAAAGCCCTTCTGTCTGCATACGCCACATCTACTCTAGAAACTCTGTGGACAGAGGCTATAAAGTGGACACTTTGCTGGCAGACTGTAATATGCTATACTTGTAAAGTACGCTAGTGCGCTGGTAGAACTGTGCTGCTAAAGCGCTCCTAGCACAGAGCCGGCTGGTAAAGCTGTTGCCATTGTCATGGTGAGCAATCAACTATGTTGAATTGATATCAGAGAACTGACTTACTTGATCCTGCTCTATTTCCTTCCAGGGGCTCCCGGGTGGCCTTTTGGTAAGTACTCAAAATTACTTTACTGTTTATATTACCTTAGTCGACTTCCTGAATGTCAGTCAGAGAGGTGGTGGTATGTTCTGCTGTATTAGCCAAGAAACACGAGGAAAGAGCGAGTCAAAGCACAAAACTCCTCACTCGCCAGGGATGCTGAGCAATTGTTCTCTGCCCTTTCAATTCTCCCATTACACAAGTAGGCAGGACGTTGAGTGCCTGTGATTGCTGCTTATCAGGACCACTTCCCAGATGCAGTAACACCTAATGTGTGTTTTGCATCCCTGGCAATCCTGTGAATCTCCACACCTCAGACAGGATACAACAGTGTCACATGCTATACTGGTTACAGCACACTAATACACTGGTAGACCTGTACTGGTAACGTGTTCTCAGTGCAGAGCCAGCTAGTAAAGCAGTTGCCATTGTCATGGTGAGGAATCAACTACACTGAATTGATATCAGAACTGACTTTCTTGATCCTGCTCTATTTCCTTCCAGCAGCTCCCAGGTGGCCTTCAGGTGAGTACTCAACATTACTTTACTGTTTATATTACCTTAGTACCCCTTTGCTAGCCTGGACCCTGAGCCCAGTGTTCTGCTGGAATAGCCAAGAAACACAAGGAAAGAGCGAGGCAAAGCACACAACTCCTCACTCATCAGAGATGCTGAGGAATTCATACAATTGTTCTTTGCTGTTTCAATTCTCCCATTACACAAGTAGGCAGGACATTGCGTGCCTGTGATCGCTGCTTATCACAACCACTTCCCAGATGCAGTAACATCTAATGTGTGTTTTGCATCCCTGGCAATCCTGTGAATCTCCACACCTCAGACAGGACACAACAGTGTCACATACGTGATCTCATCTGTATAAGGGAGCAGATTGGAGATCTGAGAAGTAAATCAGTTTCACTCCCATAAAATATTTGGGGATAGAACAACAATGGGTGACATTCAGCTAAAAGTAGTCCTCATATGCCTCATGATTGGAAATCAGACCAGTACATTGGTTCTCTTCTTTCAAAATGTGGAGTTTTAGAAGTTGCTGCATAGCCTGGTAGACAGTAACAATCTATTGCTGCCACTCTTCTTTGTCTCTGTCCCTGCCCAAAAGTTCCAGCCAAGTCTATAATACTGATGATTTTCTCTCAGAAATGAGATCTTTCCTGTTCTTCCCAAAGGGGAACTGTTCAAGGACAGTATCTTTGCATCCCCTGTGTCTGAGTTCGGGTTGTCTGCGTTGGATCCAGGGTTCTCCTCGCCTATTCAAAATATTCTTTACATCTAATATTGTGTTCTAATAAATTAAGAGCAGCTTCAGCCCATATCTCTAAGAAATTTGTGTGCTGGAGAAAGAGAGAGGCCCTCCCTGACTGTCAAGAGCCCACAGTGCCGTTTCCCTCACACATTTAAGTCACCAAGAGGAAAAGTGGTCCCTCATTTCAGGATTTCACATTTGTGGGCTTCAAGCACAGATGTCTGGGGTTTGATTTCAAAAGGTACCAAACACCCGGGGCTACACTAGAGTCTGTAGGAACTTTGGGACAGTAACAAATATTTCCCAAGGCACAAGCAACTCAGTTGCTTCTGTCCTGGGAGGAGCTAACCACCCTCCTTGCAATGGCACAGGACTTCAGTGGAATCAATAACTTTCTTCTTTGTTTTTTTCTTAAAGGGCTAATCAGGGAAATGATCTGCGGTGAGTATCTCCGGTTCTCTCTTTCAGAAGCTTCTGTGGTCTCTTGTCTGCTCTCACCGTGGGAACTGAGACTGGAGCCCTTTGAGTTGAAGGAGGCACCATTAGTACAGTTCATGGTGCAAATCAGTGAAGGAGAAAAGTGCCCCCCCCCCCCATGCCCCCCACCGAGTATGGCAGGAAGCTCTTTGTCTCATCTGCCACTTTTAGTCCATGCCACAGCGTAACAACCAGTGAGCAGAAACAAACCGTTACCTGTCAGCATCTGAGGTGTTGTTTTCCTGCTTGTCTGGCAGTCAGAGAGAAGCTGGTAAGAACCAGGCTCACATTTATGTTAACAGCAGAGAACAGCACTAGCACAATTCATGGTTCATAGGATATGTCTACATTGCATTCCTCCTTCGAGAGAGGAATGCAAATGCAGACAAACAAAATTGCAAATGAAGCACAGATTTGAATTTCCTGTGCTTCATTTGCATAATGGCGGCCGGCTGCTTTTCCAAAATACCATATTTCGAGGAAAAAAATATGGTCCACGCAGGGTTATTTCTAAAAGAAACCTTCCTTCGAAATAACCCTTAAACCTCATTTTTTAAGGAGTAAGGGTTATTTCGAAGGAAGGGTTTCTTTTCAAAATAACTCTACTTTTTTTCTTGAAATATGCTATTTCGGAAAAGCGACTGGCTGCCATTATGCAAATGACGCATGGGAAATTCAAATCCTCACTTTATTTGCAATTTCATTTGTCTGCATTTGCATTCCTCTCTCGAAGGAGGAATGCAGTGTAGACATGCCCTTACTTTCTAAGGACAGAAGGGACCATTCTGGTCAGTTTGTCTGACCTGCATAAAACAGAGAATTTCAACCAGCCGTCCCTGCATTTACCCCATGATTTGTAAAGGGCGTAAAGTCCTCTCCAGCACTTACATGTTTTAAGCTCACAAGCTGCTTTTAGAGATGTGAGATAAACTTAAGCTCCTCATATCCCTGGACTTAGGCTCCACACTGCTCACCTCAACGTTGAATATGGGACTTGGACTTCTAAGTCCCTTAGTGGCATCCTCAGCAGCCTATGGGAATGAACGACAAAATTTATTTCTGTTACTCCCATTGATCCCGCGCTCAGGTTAGACACAAGGGATAGAACAAACATGAAAGGATCCGGTGAGAACACCACGGACTGTTTAGATCCAAGTCATTACATCTTATTCGGCCCTTCTCAAGGGCTTTGCCGGCAAGTTCCTCAAACAGTTCACGAAATCTGTGCCATGAGGGGGCAGGGAGAGAACGGTCATCCAGGCCAATCTGGTGTTTCTGTCTGTCCATGTTACGGGCCAGGCCCTGGGTGGTGTTTCTGGGGCCTCTGACCTCGCAGCCATTGCCTTTCAATTCAGGCAGCTGAGCGTCCTGCTTTCATTCTCCAAAGAGCCCATGTGGAGGAGCCTGACTTGCTGTGGGTGTTGGAAACAGGGTGGCCTGCTCTGGCCAAAGGGAGCTGACTGTTGGACAGAAAAGACAGTACCTCCTCCTGCATTTCTCAGCATCTCTCCAACAGGGTGCGGGGATCAGGCTGAAGGAAGGGGGGGTCCCTGGGATCTGCAATTAAAGTCAGTTCTCTCCAATGACCCCAAGTCGCTGTATCCCCAAAGCCAGCACTGAGGGGGAGAAAGCATCCATGTCACTGCTGTGCTGAGCTCTGTTCCCACATCCCCATGAGCTTCATGCACCACCGAGCAGGAGACAGAGGGGCAGAGGGCTCCTCTCCACAGCACTGGCCTGCCCCCTTCAAGCAGCAAAGTTCTTCTGCCGTCACCCGGTCACCCCATCCTCCACTGGCTGTAATGCTGGGAAGTGCGATGCTGTCTCATCGAAACAGCAGCCCCGTGGCACTCAGAATACTCTCTCACAGGGAGTGCTGACAAGCGGCAGGGATCTGAGACGTGTGGGAACCACTGCGTGAATCCTAGTGCCCGCTCACATCCCCAAAGACAGTTTCAGTTTTTCTAAAATAACCCCTCGGCCTCAGTTCCAGCCCTCCCAAAACTCCCCCGACCCTCTCCTCCCTCTCTGGCCCATCCAGTGCCATCAGTCACCATTTGCAAAGGGCACTGCTGTGCAACGCACACTAGTGTAAGTGGGCCACGGGCTACGCACAGCTGTATCTGGGCAGGAAAGGACTAAATGATATCTGGGAGTGGGGAGAGAGCTCTTGTCTGCTCCCCGTGGGTTACTGGGGCTATAATGACTGTTTGTCGTCTCTCCCCAGCACTAAGAATTTGGAGTTAACCATCCAATGCTGACAAAACCGGCCTGGCTGACTTCGAGCACGTCACTTGCCATTCCCCTTCCCATGCTGCTGCCGGACAACTTTCCACCAATCACACGCTGAATGAAAACGTCAATCTGACCGATAGGGCTTCTGGCTAATTCCTGGGATGGTCATTGATTTGTGCTGCTTTTTGATGTAACACAGGGTGGAGGGACACTGAGCTCTGTCCCACGCCTGCCTGGGGGAGGTGAGAGCTTTGCAAATCTTCAAATAAAATAAATAGAAATGCACAAAAAGTTGTTTTTTAGTTTTTAGTAAGTTACGTTTCCTTCCAGGCTGGGATAGGATTTGTACCACGGTAGATGCAGAGTCTGCCACTTTCATTAGTGAATTCCCCGCTCTTTGTAGGCAATGACTGTTCTATGGTGGGAAGGGCTGTTCTCCAGTATTGCTCCCTCTCCCTCCGTGGGGGAACCCAGAAAGCAACAACAGTGGTAAAAATGAGCAATGGAGCGGCTGCCTCCCGGAAAAGGAGAGAAGAGTATTTGCCACATTACCAGGGCTGTGGGGCATGGAGACTGGGGGAAGCAGGGAAACTGGGGTGCTGGGTTGTGCACAGCCAGAGGAGTGCAGTGAACAGTGTGGGGCGTACAGGGCTGGTGCGGGGAAAAGGAGGCACAGAGCCAGAGGGACACAGGGATTGGGGGGACCAGGTTGTGGGGTGCAGGGGAGGCACAGGGAATGGGATGCAGGGAATGAGAGGGGCAGAGAGATTGGGATCCAGGGGCAGTGAAGGGAATGGGGGGCACAGACCCAGACGGGCACAGGGAAAAGGAGCTGCAGGGTGCAGAGGGTACGCAGAGCTAGAGGGGCGCGGGGACCAGGGTGCAGGGGCGGTGCAGGGAACGGGCGGCGTAGAGCAGAAGGATGCATGGAATGGGGGGAGCGGGGTGCAGCGGAGGCACAGGGAATGGGATGTGGGGAATGGGAGGGGCAGAGGGATCAGGGTCCAGGGGCAGTGTGGGGCACAGACCCAGAGGGGCACAGGAATCAGGGGGAGCAGGGTGCGGGGTGCAAGGATGGCGCAGAGCCAGAGAACAGGGAGAGCAGGGGGACTGGGGTGCAGGGCAGGCATGGGGAATGAGAGGGACAGAGAGATCGGGGTCCAGGGGCAGTGAGGGGAATGGGGGGCACAGACCCAGAGAGGCACAGGGATCAGGGGGAGCGGGGTGCAAGGGTGGTACAGAGCCAGGGAACAGGGAGAGCAGGGCGACTGGGGTGCAGGGCAGCAGGGTGTGGGGTGCAGGGAAGGCACAGGGAACAGGCGGTGTGGAGCCAGAGGGGCATGGGGCGGGCTCAGCGAGCTGGGCAGCTGGCAGGGAGCAGTCTCTTGCTGGTGACGGGGGCTAGGGCTGCATCAGGACTGGAGCCGACGGGGCAGGGCGAAGCGTAGGCGCACAGTGCTCCACAGCCAACTCCCGGGGACACGCAGCCAGAGCCAAGCTCTGCCTTTAAAATTGGCAGGGCGGAGCTGGGCATTGTCGGGGGCAGCTGCTTACCTGGAAATGCTGCCCCTGGAAATGTGCCGCCCCAAGCACGTGCTTGATTTGCTGGTGCCTAGAGATGGCCTTGCTTTCTCCTACAGTTTCACTCTTTTGGCCTGAACATCAGACCACAAACCACTCCCTTAAAATAGCCCAGAAACTACACGTCAGTGTTGCTGCAAGGGGGACAGATTATGGCACAAAAAGCTGAGACGGCTTCATTTGTTATAAATTCTTTTGAGCATCAGCCCCTTCCACTGGCATCTCAGCCTCAGCACCCCACCTCCATATGTCTGGACAGTATCTCTCTCTCTCTTCAGTGAGATCCAGAATCTCTTTCTCTGAAAGCACTGGGGTCGTTACTGGCAAAGAACCCTAACGGAGTGACAGGAGCTGGGTCCCTAACCTCCTTCAGTAGGACTGAAAATCCCAGTCTAGAGCAAGAGCATAATCCTCCACAGGGGAAGGGCATCTTGAAATCCCAGCTAACAACACTCCTGGGGGCTCTGTATTTGCCATCGGGGGCTTGAGGTCTCGGGCTGAACTCGGGGCGTGTTCTAGATTTTCTCCACACACCACGAGATCTAAAGTCTCCGCCTGAAAACAGAAAGCAAAAGGCGGCCAGGAGGTGTCTCTTCGAATGCCCTGAACCACAAACCAGCAGAAGCTCCAGAGCTGCAGCGATCGCAGCTGATAATGGTGCAGGAGGCCTCCGGTCGTGAAGTGCCCAGATCTGGCTTCATTCTAATGGCTGGGGCTTTCCAGGGGAGCAAAAGCCCCACTTATCCTCAGGAGGCTTGTGATCCAACCAGGGGGGCGGCAGCCCCGATCGCTAGTCAGTTTCACAAAGGGAGTGAACAGTGTCACAGCTGACAGCTCTGGATGGGTAGGGTCTGCACACGCCTCCCTGGGCCACAGGGACGTGCTGGCAGCCGCATGGGGCTAGCAGCAGGAAGCCGCTCTAGCCCTACTGAATTTCCAGGGCTGGCAGTGGGGGGCCCTTGTTGGGTTCTAAATCTGGTGGGAAGGAAACGTGTAGAGACACCACCGCCTGCCCACCTGGGGCCCTACCAGAGGGGGTGCCTTCTGGCTCACTAGGAGGATTAGGGCCCTGCTGGGAGGGAGGAGGAGACCCGCCGGCTCACTAGGAGGATTAGAGGACTGACTCTGGCCCAAGGTAGATTGAGTTTGAGACCCCTGCTGGAGAGGGACACAAGGCTCCTAAGGAAGTCCGTAAGCCTGCGCTAGCATTTGGTTTGTGAATGGATCCCAGCTCCCCCGGAACTTTTCTTTCTGGGGCACGGGCCAACAGGGCTGTGGATTCACTTCAAGACAGAGTCGATTAGGGATAAATAGTTGCTTTTATTAATCTACTACGTCACTACTATTACAGGCATAATACTGCGAGAAGGTTACACAGCTACTGCAAAGCAATACGCCAATAAGCACAGGCAGAGCAATGCATAAAAGAGTAACAGGCACTTGGAAATGCTTACACCCCTTCAGACTGCAGGGAGTCCCGTTCCGGTCACCTCGCACCCAGCCACAGTGGATGTGGCTCCAGCTGCGGGGCACCCGGGGCACCCATCGAGGTCTAGGTCCCTGGTGAGACTCACAAAGGGGTGGGACTCCCAGTGATATTATACTTTAGCTGTTGACTGAGTGTGTGTGAGTTGGCCCAATGCCACTCTCAATGTTCTCTTGGGGCTCAGAACTGAGGTCATGTTATTTATCCTATACTCAGCTCTCAGCTAGCAAGCATAGGGAGTTGCAGCTGATGAAAGCCGTCTGATAAAGAACACCTGGTATTTTCACCAGCAGGGCTCATGGCTGGCCTAGAGCAGGGGTGGCCACCCCATTTAACAAAGAGAGCAGAAATAGCGGCAGAAGAGCCGCACCGGAATTATCAAGGAAAAAAAAAAGGGAGGCTGCCCCTTTAAGAAACAAGCTTAAGGGTTTTGGCCATATCAGGCTCCCATCAATGGCCGCCATCTTGGGCGTCATTTTGAATCTCCACCCCGGTGAGCACAGGGGAGCCGGGGGCTGGGAGGAGCCGGGGGCAGGGGGGTAGGGGCCGTTTGGGAGGGGCAGGAGTGGCTTCGTGAGCCGCACTTTTGGGGGAGAAGAGCCACATGCG